AGTGATGTTGTGTTCAAATCACTTTATGTGGATGATATGCTACTAGTTAGTAGCTCAATGGCCCTTGTGTTGGAAACACAAGAATTCCTTTCACGATACTTTGATATGAAAGACTTAGGAGAAGTATCATATGTGATGAGCATCAAGACAACAAAAAATAAAGCAAACCAAACCATTCAACTTTTCTAACAACCTACTGCAAAAGAGTATTAAAAAAGTTCAAAATAGATAAATATAAGCCCATATCTACTCCTATCGATAAGAAGACAAAACTTAGCCTACAAATGTGCCCTAATGACGATGAAGAGAAAGAGGCCATGGAAAGAATACACTATCGCAATGCAGTAGGATTTCTGATGTATGACATATCAAGAACAAGACTATATTATCCTTTACCATGAGCATGATTTGTCTATTTCAATATAACTTAAGGATTTAACATTGGAAGGTAGCTAAGAGAGTTCTAAGATATTTAAAAAAAAACTGAAAGCTATGCTCCCACATATACAGGAGGTTTAGATATCGTTGTGCAAGGGTATACAGATGCGAGCTATCAAGGCAACCTCGATGATATGAAATCCACAACTAGATATGTGTTTATGCTTGGAGGTAGGATTGTTTATTGGAAATCAAATAAATAGGATATTGTGGCATTATCAGTCATGGAATCAGAAGACATGAGGTGTTGTCTAATAGCCAAGGAGGCTGTATGGATAAAGAAGTTCCTTAATTGACTACAGTTTGAGCCTATGTGATGTGTTCTGCGACAACCAAGCCACAATTTGTGTGACTAAGGAGCCACGATTTCATAAGAGGTCCAAGCATATCAAGTCGTGCTATTATCATGTTCGAAATGAGGTAGATAGAGATCATATATATTCCCACAGAGGCAATGGTACAACCCTTAGACAAGGGTTAGTTGCTAATGTTTTTATTAAATATGTACATAGGATGGGGTTGAGAGAGAGAGTGGGGAAGAGAGATTGTAAGGCACTCAAATGCCAAGTGGGATATGTTAGGCTTTTGTGGCCATTTAAAGGCCTTACAAGATAATGTAATGAAATCCCACAATAGTGGAATAATGAATTTTAGTGGGAGTATGGTCCATAAGGACTGAAGTTGGTGATATTGTTGTCGAGCTAGGCCAAGTTGAGTTCTAAAACCCTATGTACCTAGGCATATAACACAATTGAAAAGGATTTACAAGGTTACCCCTTGATGTGGTTAGAGAGATGCCTAGGGTAGTTGACCAAGGGACTTTGTAATCCTTATTTGTAATTGCTAGGTCTGAAGGGACAAGGGCCAAATTCTCATCATGACCAGCACACGACATGTACATATGATAGTCTTATTAGGAAGTAGACACCATTGAGAGAATTGCATGTATATGTGCGAGAGATAGCCCCCATGCACCAATTGCAATAACTTTGCATATGTCTGTAGGACCTAAGCTTGTTCCTAAGGGGAACCTATAGTCCATAAACTAAGATTGTGTTCTTGTCACATATTAGCTACCTTTGGTAGTCTAATCATGAACTCATGTGATGGACTATGATCGACTATGGTTTACTAGAGTTAATGCGGTCTTTAAGACTCAGAATTAGCATTTCTAGGAATGCCTTTAGTCAAAATTTTTAGGGGAGTTTCTAAAAAAAAAAAAGGGAAACATGGTCTAAAATCCTCTTTCCATAATTAGCAATTTATTAGTTCACATTGAAAACTTTAATAACAATAATCATGTACAAATCTTATTATGTTTTATAATGTTTACTGTTGTAATTTTTCTATATAAGCGAAATAAACCACTTGCAATGGCTAGTAGCAAGAAACCATAGCGGTTGGAAGTGGTTGAATATTTGGAGTGGGGCTCAAGCTCGTTAGGGTCCGGAAGCCAACTTATGTAGAGAATTGGTGGATTTATAGGCTAAGTCGGGTATTTCTCACCCAATTTTCGGTCAAATAACAACAAGCTCGAGAGGCTCACTGAACTTTTGGGTGATTGTTTCTCGTTTTCACTTTACTCTATAATCAAAGCCAGAATGTGTTCTTTAGGTTACCTCAATTATTTTTATGGAAAAATTACGTACATATCCGTTATAGTTTGCATTATTATAAAACTACCAAATAATTTATTTATTACCTATCTATCCGATTTTTTCATGGCATAACAAATAATTTTAAAAAATACAATTTTACCCTTTTCGGTTGTTAGACAACCGAATTCAATAGATTTTTGGTTGTTCAACAACCAAAATCAGGTCAATTCTCTCTATCGACTAATTAAATTTTTTTTAAATTCAAATTTTGAATAACCAAATTCTCTCTCTATGCCTTTCACCTGTCTTTTCTCTTGAAACTCTTCCCTATGTTTATCTATTTTCTCTCTATGTTTATCCATTCTTTCCCCCTATGCTTATCCATTACATTGGGTGGGTTTAAACTCTTCCTATGTTTATCCATTCAATTTTTAGTTTTTCAAAACCTTGTTGAACAACCGAAAATCCATTGAATTCGGCTGTTGAAAAATCCATAGAGAGAGAATAAGCAGAGGACCTACAAAAGACAAAAAAAATTCGGTTCTTCAAGAACCTAAAATTTATCTTAAAATTTTGAATTTTTTATTTTCAAAAACCCAAATTGGCCTAATTTTGGTTGTTGAACAACCAAAAATCCATTGAATTCAATTGTTCAACAACCGAAAAAGGGTAAAATTATCTTTTTTAAAAAAAATCATTATGACATGAAAAAAACGGACAAATAGGTAATAACGGAAACTATTCGGTAGTTTTGTAATAACGCAAACTATATCGGATATGTATGTAATTTTCCCTATTTTTAAAGGAAAAGTTATAAAATATAGTTGTACATCATGGTTAGCACATGGCCAAGCCAGCACATGTAAAAATGCGGGCTTGACAATAAATATATATTTTAAATATAATTTGATCTTAATTTTTAGATAATATATAACCTTTAACATGGAGATCATAAATATGCAAAAAAAAAAAATTACATTTTAAAAATTAGAAATAATAATTATATTAAAAAAACATTTGAATTGTTAGTTACAATTGTTGTTAGATGGACCACCTATTTGCATCCATCTTTAAGATCGATGTTTTATACCTCTGGACCGCATATTTTGGAAATGCGGCCCAGCCCACATGAAACAATAAATAGTGTGATGGAAAATATCACTTACGGGGTTGAAACCTTTTGCAAAATTATTAAAGATGTCAAATGATCCCAATCAACATTTGAGGTATCTCGTTCTCATATTTATTTTAGTCTGATACCTCCTTGAGAAAATCTTAAAAAAAATTTGAAGTAGCTATTATTTAGCGTTGTGAAGGATGAACAAATGGGATCATTTAGTTAATTTTAACCCTAAGAGGTCCCAACCAAATTAATGAGTATTCATTATTTTCAATTTTCAAAAGTATAATTTGAAAATTATTATATTTTTTGAGATATTTAAGTTAGGGTATGGCCCTTATTAAGCAGAATGCCGGACAAGATTCATGCAGCCGAACCAAATAATTGGAATAACCCTAATGATGATGATAATTTAAGTGAAATGAAAAAAAAAAAAATAACTCCTTAAATGTTAGTTGAGATCATCTGAAATGATTTCACAAAGAGATTTCAACCCATTGACCTAAATAGAAATTTCAAAAACAATTTTTTATTTATCCGGATGTTTGATATTTGCGAGAAAGTATGCCGGGCTATTTGAAATTAGATAAAAACCTATATGCGAAGTTCAATAAATTCCATATTGTTATGTGCAGCAGGCCATTATTTTCACCCTTTTTCTTTGGGTGGGTTTGGCAAAAATACGGGTGCAAATTAGCATTTACTTTCTAGAAGCCTCCTCCATCTTAACGGTCACTTCTCATTCAAGCCAAGGCACCACCGTTTGGTGAGTCATTTGAGGCCGCATTAGGGTGGCGCATTTTCTACCGCTAGCAATAAAATTTCATCTTTAATTTCAGAAAAAATAAAAATAATACTAATAATCATAAAAGAAAAGTTTATAAGGTAGCAACCTTAAAATACAGAACTACGGATGCATCTCAAAAATCCATCAAAAACGGTTGTTTTAATATTGAAAAACCCTCTAATTGACCATCTCGATGTTCAAGTATATGACTATTAAAAAAAAAAAGAAAAAAAAAGATTTTGAGTCCCATAAATGATGCATCTTACAACACATTATCTAGACCATCCATTTTCAAGATTTTCATATGTTTATAGATCTACTTGATTTTAATCATTTTGTAGTTTAAAATTTTATAATGAGATATGAAAGTAGATTTTAAGATAATCTTAAGAATATTGTTACATCAAAATTATATGCTATGATAAAATTTGGAGGTGTGCTTTATATGGATCGTTTAAGATTGCAACCTTATAGAAACCACACCATAATAATAATAATAATAATAATAATAATAATAATAATAATGATAATGATAATGACTATGATAATGATAATGATAACAATAATAATAATAATAATAATAATAATAATAATAATAATAATGATAATAATAAAATAAAAACAAATAAATAAATAAAGGCGAGGTTTTTATAAGATCTATGCTTTCTTGTCCAAAAAGTATTTTCGGTGACAAAAATATCTATGATGACTCTAAAATCAATTTCTAATACTAACAATAAAATTTGAAACTAAAAAGATTATAGATCTTGCTTATCTATGAACACTTATTTTTTAAAGTAAGATAGACTGTTTAAAAATTTTATTATAATATATATTATTTTTAGAGCTTGAATCTTTTTTTTTTTTTCACAAACATAATGTTACGGTATATAAGACCAATCTAAAGGTTTTCCAATGCTTGACTTACAACTTTCGATGAATTATGAGGTGAGGATTTACTCATTTTCTAATTATAAAAAAAAAAAAAGATTAGAACTGTACTGGTTATCATCGAGTCCCTATTTTAATGCTTCGGCACCAGCTGGGACTACAAAAGGCCAGTAGACCGTAACGGTTGGATTCTTCGATTTCATTATATAATTGAAAGCTCACCCTTTACGTTTCCTAAGCTCCACTTTTAGCTGGACCTCCCTGTGAATTCCATTGCAATCGAAAAGCAAGCGAAAAGGCAGCTACTCTTGACTGAGCTTCAATGTGTGCGAACCCCAGATTTGATTCATTGCTACTCTGAATCACTCAATCGATTTCTAAATTGGGCCTGTGATTCCGATCTTTATTAGAACAAGGTATTCTTCTACACTAGATTACTGTTGAATATGAAATTTAGTTGCTTTTTTATAAATTTCTCGGAGTTTATCTTTGAGTTATGATGTGTGAGATGTGAATAGTGGACCAGTTCCTTCGAATTGATTGCTGGTGTTGTCCTATTTAACCTCCTTGAACTCCTACAAAAGAGAATACTAATTACCTTTTTGGTTTGGATATTCTCCTTGTTTATATTCTAATCCAAATTCGAAGGCGATTTTCGTATTTCATTCCCACTTCTTTTGATTTTGTGGATTTTGGTGATTTTCATAGGATTGTTTCGATGGCACCCCTTATTTGTTTCCTGGGTTTAGTAGTGAAGGGGTGGAACCCAACAATTGAAGCTTGTCCAAAACCTCCAAATAAGTTGACCTGCCCTTTTTTTTTTTTTTTGATTTGATAGCATATTTGTAGCACCTTCAAAAAACTGTATGCCATATTTATGTCATTGAAAACCCTAAATAGAGCCTTTTCTATCATTAGTTTATGGCTTTGTAAAATGGATTTTGAATCTTAATCATGTTAAATGGGAAAAATTTTGTTTATGCCCTTCATGTATGCCTGAAATCGCCCATTTCTGCTCATTCTGTTCTAACCCCATACATATTAGGTGCTGCACGACACTGAATCAGAGCATACTGAGAGAGAGATGGTTTCTAGTTTTATTTATTATGTGTTCAATTTGAAATGGTTAGGGAACTTTGCAATTACGAAGCCGCTCGTCTCATTCTTGCTATGGGCTTCTTTGAGTGAAGTACATGTTATTCAAGAAAGTGAGTGAAGGCAATAAAATCCTAATTATAGGGGTCAAAACCTGGGATCTTATGCTAATGAAGTCTACCACCTCTCTGAGCACTCAATTTTGAATAATAATAAAGGAAATTACATTACATATACTATTAAATATACCATTTTGTTTATAGAAATTGATTGCAACGATTTGTTTAGCCATGTCATTTTTTAGAACACAGTATTACACATCTTTGACACTAATTGAACATTTACTTTTTTTTAACACTACTGGAACACTTTTATTAGATACTAACACTTCTTGTCGGAATCCATCCAACAATGCATGAAAGAGGTTGTTTCGAGGATGAATGTCAAAGATGCATATGATCTTTGACCATCCTTTCAAGGTTAAGGAAGCTGTGTTGAATTGCAAATGGGAATTGACAGTTCCATGAATGGTCACGTATCCTAATCTTTGGAGGATAATGGTCAGTTCTTGTTTTTTTTGGAGTAGCGGTGATTCGAAGTTGGAAGTCAATGTTTCTATGTTAATGCTTTAAACAGTCAAGCCGAAGCCTAAATCCCAATGATAAAGAGTGGTCATAAGTCACCTAAGTGATTTGAACTCTTGTGAGGAAACCCCATGTGTTTAGCAAGCACACATCTTAATCACTCAGCTCTTGATGGACCACTCGGAATAGATTTCAAAAATCACCTTGCGGTTGAAAATCTTATTTTGTTATGTTCTTTCCTTAATTAGCAAGTTATAGGCATTACCTTCCTTGCAAGTTTAAGTCAGGCATGTATGTTTTCTTTTGTTTCTGGATTTAAGTTCTAGATGCTCTTACTATAGATGATAATAAAAATTCCTTCTTGTTAACCATTGATGAATAATTTAATACAAAAAGTTCCTATCAGAATTGTTATTTACTATAGAATTTGCACTTTTGTAATATGCAGGAAGATTAAAATATAAGGCTGATAATTGCATTGTGTTCTGCAATCAATACACCTTACACAACACAAAGCTACTCAAAGGAAGAGGAAGCAGTTCTATCTGGGCTAGAAGACCTTGTGTGTATTATCTATCATATGGGCTACGTTCTGGTAATTTCGCTTCCTCTCCTGTTACTTGCCATCATAGGAGCAATTGGGTGCTATCTTCTTGGCAGATCAAGAGGCCGCTATGAATCACAGACCATGCCACAGTGGTACGCCCCTCCAGCTCCTCCACCCCATGTGGCCCCTTATACTGGAGATAAGCCACCTCCTGTTTGATAATTTGGGGGCACCAATCTTTATTTACATTGTTTCTGTTTGGAGTTTCCTCTGTATATTGCCAATGTCAAATGATATATAGGTTTTGTGTTTGAAATTTTGTTCGATGTTTGATTCTGTTCATGTTGTCCCTACCATCTCTGTATCATTCTTTTGAGAAAATTTTATTGGTTTTAACTAGTGTTTTAATTCTTTTAAGAAGTAACAACCACAGTCTGTTTATTTGAGATATTATTTGATTGAAGCAATGGACCTACTCTTTGGAAGAGAATAATGCTTGACGTATTTTCATACCTTTGGGGAAATGATGGTAGAAGAATTTTGCTTCAAAAATATAGTTATATAGTAATAATTAGCCGTACCATTAATTACAAAGAGATATTTATTAGTAGTAGTACGATCAAAATAGTAATAATTGTTAGTGTTTGTAGAAAGGGAAAAATATCATTTAAGAGGTCGTAACACCATACAAAATCATTAAGGCACTATTTGATTTTCTAGCCAAATTATAATTTGGGCATATTTAAAAATTTCTCAATAGCAATTAGGCCTCAAGAGGTTTTCGATTAGTAAATTCGAATTGATTCCTAACTGCATTTAGCTACTAAATTGCAAGTAAAAAACCATACATAGGTACAAATTGGAACCAGTCAATAGTTTCATAGGTACTCAAGGTTCAATGGGTTGCAGGTTTTACTATAAAGATGATGAGTCACTAAAAGTAGAGATGAGCAATGGGTTGCGGGTTTTACTATAAGGATGATGCGCCACTAAAAGTAGGGATGAGTTCCTAGAAGACCTTAAGTGTAGAAAACCCATTTAGTATAACGATAATCCATTCAAGATTATAGGTGATTAGAACCATTATCTATAGTTTAGTTTGTACCAATGACTAACCAATATGATGATGGTATTGAAACAATAACTCATCCTATGCTAAGTCAATAAAAGAGGTATGACTCAAAGACTTTTGTCTCTATCTGAGTGAACAAACAAATGTTTTTACTAACCCTATTGATTATACCTATAACTTCAATGATGACTCACAAGAATATCGAGGATGGCTGATTGCTATGAAACAAGAGATTGATTCAAATTGAGAGGAATTAAACTTTAGATCTTTGTGATTTTCCTAAAAGATGTAGTTGTAATTGGGTCACTTGAAAAGAAGTTCACGTATTTAATGGCAAAAGGCTTTACTTGAAGAAAATGAGTCAATTTCGTAACACTTGTTCCCGTATTGTCAAGTTCATATCTATTAAAATATGCATGAAAACTGCTTTTTTCAATGGAGAATTAGAAAGAAATATACATGAAGTAACGGAAAGGCCTCATAATTAAAGGCCAAAAAAGATAGGGTATATAAGTTGAAGTAGTTCTTATGTAGCTTAAAACAATCTTAGGGGACAATTCTGCTAGGCTTTTTATTATGTTATCCTTTAAATGAAATATGAAATAACAAATAGGGATAAGTTTACAATACTCTAATTGTATTATTGGCTGGAAATGACTTGTAAATGATTGATGAGGTCAAGTCAAAGCTTTCATCTAAATTTCATATGGAAGACAATAGGAGGGGCATCTTATGTTCTAGGAATAAAAATAACAATAGATAAAAAGTCTAGAATGCTTTGTTTAATTCAAACAAGCTAACTTGGCAGGTCTAAATGGAAGTTTGTCAACTATTATCCCCTCCAAATAAAAGGGGAGTGAAATTATCTAAGAAAGATTGTCTAGCAGAATGATAAGAAAAGCCTAATGTTCCCTATACACAAGCTGTTGGAAGATTAGTGCATATTGTACAATATAATAGGCCAGATCTGAGCTATGCAGTAGCCCTGATAAGCAAGTACCAAAGTAATACAGGCTCTAAATCATGTGAAAGTAATTTAAAGGTAAATTAAGGGAACCAAACATCGTAAAATATGTTTTTAAGTAGATAAGTTTTTGCTTTTAAGTAGAAAAACTTAAGATTTTCCTGATTTTGCTGAAAAAATTTGATAAGAGCTGCCACTCTTTCTTGAGCTAGTAAAAAACAAGGGCATGTTCCCCAATATACATAATAAGAAGAGTACATGGCTTGTAGCATTACATGTACTTATGCCATCTAGATAAATAACTTCATACATGACTTTAAGCTACAGATTATCGACGAAACAATTCAAATATTTTGTGATAATCATGGTAATTCAAAGATAAGAAAATAGTTCCAAGGTAGGCACATTTAGATGCAATGCCACTATATTCAAGATATAGTTGAGAAGAATGAGGTGACTGTGAGTTATTTGTCCTGATCTAAGCATATCAACTTGATAGAACTTAAAAGACTCAAATGATCATCATGAGATATAAAAATGTGTATTACTGTGGAAATCTTCATGATGAAAATTATGTACAGCTTGTCATGAGAGGCCTATCCATGAGATCTAGATGAAAACCTTATGATAAGATGGTCTTAACAATATCCCAAAGTGGGAGAAAAACATTATGACAAATTTATTGTGCTCAGCCCCCTCATGGCCAAGTGGAAGATATGGACATGTGTAGTCATGGTGCGACGCATTGCCACACATACTCTTATGCAAAAAAATTTCATGAGAGGTGTTACATAATTATCCATCTAAAATAAGTCTTTTTCGGTGCGTCACATTGCCACACCTACTCTTATGCAAAAAAAATCTCATGAGAGGTGTTGCATAATTATCCATCTAAAATAAGTCTTTTCAAATGTAGTATTTTAAATAATTAATTATATTTTAAAATAATTGTTGGTTCAATATTTTTATAGTTGGAAGGATGAGCACCTGCCTACCTCTCAAGACTTGTTGACAATCAAAATGCTGGACTCCCAACTTTTCCTTCTATTGATAGGACTATAGAGAGGATTTAACCACGTGAAAAACAGAGTTGTCTTAACTTGCCTCTCTTTCTAGTTGTTAAAAAACTACTAATTTAGGATGTTGCGTTCATCAGCCTCACAGCATCCCTCATATCTACAACCTTGAAGGCCATCCTCGCCTTCAATCTTTTGCTTTCAAAATCAAAATGAAACTATTTTTTTTTGCTTCAGTTTGGGTGTAAACTAGGAGACATGGCATCTTCCAATAAGGCAAAGATAACACAGAATAACACAACAGTGATTTTGCCCACCCAATACACCATGTAAAATATGGGTATCCCCACCTTAGAGACTGACAACCTTCTTCATGAATGTTCAATTTAACTTTGAGCAATGGAGGATTGTGAACGATTTCCTTAAGGGAGGGAAACATATTAAAGAAGACCAATCAGATGGGGAAACCATCCGAAGTGCCCTGCTACCAGATTTTGTTTTCTTTATGGCTCGCCTTTGATTTATATTTTAAAACTGTTCTGTACCCAAAGCCTCATCAGTCGTACCTCTCTTTGTATTTCAATGACCCAGGGTAATTTAAAGAAGAAATATAAATCGGTACTTTATAAAATTACATTCAAGATTTGATCTGTTTAACATCTTAACTATAATTTTTTATCAATTTTCAAATTACCTATTAATCTGTCAATAGAATTCCAAACGACCCATCAAATGACACATTAAAAATGGTAAATGGTTATTGAAATTTATCGAAGCAGGGCAAAATGTTAAATAGTTCACCTTTTAGACATATTTTTCCCCAGAAGTTACTATTGCTTCTACTACAGCTAGCATTTTTCCGAGAAATTACTATTCCTTCCAGCTAGTAATGCTAGCTGCGGTAGCAGCAGTAGTATAATCCAACTCTTTGCTCCCTACTCTCTCTACTAGCCTTACCGTCAACAAGGTCTTAACGCCCTCTTTATTTTCTCGTTCCTCTCACAGTACACGTCCAAGAAATGTCTTTTTCTTTCCTTTATTTTTTAAATTTTTGAATTTTTATTTTTAAAATTTTTATTATTGTAATATATTTTTATATATAAATATATACTTTATTTATATTAAACTTTTAAAAAAGTCCAAAACCTTGTCTTGAATCAGCCGAAACACCAAGTTGCTTCGTTTTTTCTCATCAATCTGAGGCTCCAAAAATGAATATGGCAACATTACTTATTTGAGCCCAAATTTTGCCCATAGATAGATCAGATTTGAGCAAAGATTAATCAAATTTAATTTATCATATAGATCAAAATTTTCACGTTTAATTGATTTCAAAATATTTAAGCTTATTTTTGGGTTTTTCATCTAATTGTAGGCTTATTTTCATAAAACAAAAAAAAACAAAAAAACAAGAAACAAAACAAAATTTCATATTTTTACATTTTCTTTTTCAGATTCATTATTCATTAAAAAAAAGTTCAAGAGTTTGGATCTCCTAAATCCCAACTCAATATTGGGACGTGGTGCAAAATTAGTGTAACATAAAGATCCAACTAGTTCATGTTTAAAATTAAATATTGCACTATATAAAAATGAACCTATTTGATTTTATGGAAGTACAACATGCATAATAATAAAAAAGAAAAAGACAAAAAAAAGAAAAGCATATACACATGGGCTAATTCTATTAACTTTTGGTAATTTTATGGGTGCATGCAAGGACTATTACAAATTAAGTAATTGGTTAGTGGTTTTATCAACCATTTTATTGAATATATTATGGCAAACGATGAGAAAATATATAAAAAATTTATTTTATTAGTATTAGTAGTACAACTGGCTTAGAAAGAGAGAGAGAGAGAGAGAGTTTTGAATCACCCCACTTGGACATATGGATGAAAATTACTATACAATTAAGGTATACTTCTAAATTTTGTTAGCTTGAAAATCTATGTGCCTTCTGTAGTTCATCAATTGTAGAATTCTTTTCCAAGGAAGTGATCACATTAATTTACAATTATTATACATTATAAGCAAAAGTTATTGCTTATTTGAATGATTTGTTATTCATATTTATGATTGCTTCTCGATGATCTCATTTTGTTTTGGAACTCTTCTCAATTACAGAAAATCAAGAAGCCCAACAACCACTAATAAAGCTCTCGCTCTCAAATGGTCATTTCTTTGCCCTCTAAAGGGCCATGTGGATACCTAAAAATACATTGTCTATGAAATATATTACTGGCGTAATACATTATTCTGCAATACATTACCTTCAAATGGATTGTTATTGTTTAGGTAGTATTTAGATGCAACCTGGGAATACATTGCTACTGTTTGGCTATGTCCGGAAGAAATATAGGAAATGCATTACC